CTTAGAGGTTATTTATTATTTAATTGGAGTTCAATTAATTTCTTTTAGTGGAGTAGAAATTAATTTATGAATTAATTTAATTGGGTCCATGGACCGGGCCAATCATTAATTCATTGTAGCCAATAAAATAATAGGCCCAATGGATTCTCACTCATAGCCCAACTTGATATTGGAATCATATTAGATTTGAGACATGTAAATTAGAGATTGAGAAGGATTCGTTGTTTCCTTTTCTTTACCTTTATGTTGCCTATAAATATACATGGTCTATGTATATTTTAAGGGTGATTTTGATGAGAGGAAAAAAGGAATAACTTTTCTATCTCTAGAAAATTAGGGTTTATGTTCTCATCTAATGGAGGCTCCCACAAGCCTAGTTTTCCAAGGTCATTCATGGAGGCTTATGAGTGATTCCTAAAGGCAAAACAATTACCAAGAAGATGGAGATCCAAGGAGAAGGCATCTTGCTAAGGGATCTACAATAAGTGAGAACATTCACTTTAGAGGAAAGTTTTAAAGGTTTACTCAGACCTTTGATGTAAGTATTCAATCCATTAATTGAATGATACATCATATTTTTATTTTTGCATAAAACTTGTCTCTATGTGATGAATCAAGATCTATGAATCAAAATCCCTCGAAATGTTTTTAAAACTTGCACGTTTCCCAACAGTATACACTCGAGAATTACATATACTTTCCATTCTCCTAACAACACTTACCCTTAAACCCCTTACATCTTTTCTCTCTTCTCTCTCTTTCTAAACCTCTCATACCCGTATCTATTTATGGAGTCTTCAAACCCAAAATGTTGAAAAAGTATTCCTATACTTGCCTACAAGAAGTTACCATAATGATCAAAACTCTAAAATTGAAACATAACGGGATACATTTTCTTCTATAACTTTCAACCTTCCAAAACAAAATAGGAAACTAATTTTCTGTATAAAAATTTTGAGCCACAAATCGAACAACCTCCACCTTGGCTCAAAATTCAATCTTCACGTGCTTCTTCATACCCCCACCTCGAATAAGGATCTCTTCATAGCTCCACCTTGAACAGGGATCTCTTCATAGCTCTACCTCAATTAAAGATTTCTCCACTTCGAACAAAAGCATTATGACGAACTTGAGAAACACTTTAACAATCTTCACCTTTTCTCAAATTCATCATTCTTCATTTTTTCTTCCATCTTCTCTATCCACCCCGTTGGTGTTTAATTGCTTGCGCATGGCAACCCACCAATCTTTAACTCATCTTCATCAATTGCTTTTCTAGATAAAAGTAAAAAACCTCTCATCTTCACACTACATATTCCCCTTTGCTCTTTATCGGGCTTAGAGTAAACCTCTTCATTCTTCACACCCTTTTCCCCATCTTGAAAACTAGCACTCACTATTGGCTTGTCCTCAAAACTTGTTCCTCGTGGGTTTTATCTCTACCATCTTTGCCCTATCTTGAAAACGAGCATCCTCTAGCTTGTTCTAAGACTCGTTCTTCATGGGCTTCACACCATCACCTTCTTCATACATTCGTGTCATCATCAACTCTGATTGAATCTCTATAGCACCTCATGATTATCTTCTGCTCTGATAAACTTCGCAGCAATCTTCTTCTAATGATCTTCAGGACCAATCACAGGCTTTGACCTACCATCGGCTCTGATATAAGTTGTTAAGGATAATTAACTTCCTCCAACCCACTCATGTAATGTTATGATTTATAAATATATATATGTGTGTGTGTGTGTGTGTGTATTAAATGGAAAAAGGTAGGATTTTTTTAATAAAAAAACTGGTGGGACCTACCACTTTATTCATTTATGGTTAAGACGCATTTTGGCCTCACCTTTCTCTCCCTCCCCGGCAGTTCTCTCTTTTCCTCTCTTTATTTTCATTTTTATTTTATTTTTCATTCAAAGCTTCAAATCTTGATTAATCTTCAACCGGTGAGAATTTTTGGATGCTGTTTGCGGCAAATCGAAGAGCTCGGCGAGATCTTCAAGTGGGTGTAAGCAATTTCAGTTTTGGTGCATCATAGGATTTTTGAAATTAGGGCACAAAATTGGGGGTTTTCATCATTTTGGAGGTAGGGGTGTTTAATCTACAATCTCTTGGTTCTTGGTGAATTATTCTCTCCTAATTTGTAGTATAACATGTTAAATTGTGATGAATTCATGCTAAGTTGTCTTGATGTTATGTGTATGTGTTATAATTCCATGTAAGTTTCATGTTTAGTGACTTGTATGTTGATTGTTGATGAAATATGATATAGACTTGCTTAAATGATTATATTTTTAATTTAGATGTGTGATTGTTGAGATTATGCTAAGTGTAAGCATGTTAGGTTTTGTATAAAATTCCTTATTAAGCATATAAGTTGTTAAGGTTGAATTGTATAAGTTATGTGAATTTCATGCTTAAATGGTATGCATAATTGAATTTTTTTTTTTTTTTTTTTCATAATTAATTGATTTGTTGAAGTGATACGACAAAGGCATGCTTAAATGATTATGTTCTTAATTTAAATACGTTGTTTTTGAAAATTGTACTAATTGTGAGTATGGAATGTGGTGTGTAAATTTCCTTATTAAGCATGCAAGGTTGTTAAAGTAGAATTATATAATTTTATGATACATTTTATGTTTATGCATTGGGAAAGAAATGAGAAGTTGATTTTAAAGGAAAATAAAATGGTTTTGGGGAAAAGTTTTTGAAAGGGTTTATGAAAACCCGGCCGCCTAAGAGTTGCTTAAAACTGCGGCGTTAGTGTGGCCTAGAGGGAACTTGGGAGATTTTCCTAGCGTGGTTGAGCTAACTGGGCCCCAAATGACGCCTTGGAGTTGCCTTGTGGTCAGGGATAGTTAGCCAATCTTTCTCTTGTGCCGCTATGGAGTTGCCATGGGACGGATTGCACTAACGGTTTGGAAATGATGGCAGAAATGGTTTTTGGAGACATTGCATCCCATTGCACGGCATGGTTCGTTATTAGTTGGATTGTTTGTTATTGATATTATGTTTATATTTTCTCCCCGGAATTATATGATCCCGTTTTCTTTTGCTCTATTCATTGTTTGGAAACATGGGGTCACAAGAGGAGTGCCTTAGGCACCTCTTACTGAGCTTTTGCTCACCCCTTCCTCTTAACATTTTTAAGAACATGACATGGAGGTGGCGGATGACAATCCACCACAGGCATGAAAGGACTAGAAATGTATTTTGAAATCATTTTGTAAAGTTGAGCTCATTTTTGTATAGCACTATGACAAGAATGTATTAAGTTGTTTAGCATGGGTTTGTATTATAAATTTGAGCTTGACTCCACTTTGTTGTAAATTGAACTGGTTATAAATATTATGTAAAATCCTTATGTAAAAGAAGAAAATGGTGTTGTTTTGTATCATATTTTTGATGTTCATAACCATGCAATGAAGAATGTATTATTTGCATTGTGTGTTGGGGCAGGTTAGATAAATTTTGAGGTCTAAGAGTGGCTATTACATTTTTATGCATTAAAGCAGATTGTCGTAGGGCCTTTTTTAGCAGAGGTCATGCCAATTTTTTTTATTTTATTTATTTATTTATTATTATTATTTTTAAATAATTGGTATCATTTTAGGGTCGTTACAAACTTGGTATTAGAGCGATGGTTCGAAAACCCTTAGGACGACGGGTAGAGGCCTGCATAAGGTTGTGTGGGAAGTTATTTGTATATATATGTGGCTATTTGTTAAAATGTTTTGCTATGTGAAAAACATGCTTAACTGTTTACTTGCTTACCTGCTTATGTGTTTAAATGCTTATATTAATGTGTTCATTGCATAGTCTTGCATGCTAAGTGTTTATCTAGTATCATTTTTTGTTAAGTTGTTCACAGTTGGACCTTAGTGTTATCGTTATTGAACCATTTTTTTTTTTTTTTTTTAGCACGATGCCACCGCGAAAGGAACCGAGATAAGTTGGCCCTAGGCCTATAAGGGGTGATGTTGGTGAAAGTTCTAGCTCTAATCTGGCGGAGCAAGTTGAAGATAATACACTTCTTAGGGATTTGATTACCCCTAGAGGTGTTCTTACAAGAAGGGACAATGTTGAAGCGGGTGAAGGTTCAGCTGAGTTGGCGCTGAATCGTCTGTTGCAGAATGCTTTGAGGGCAACAATTACTTCTCTTCCACAGCCAGTACCACAACTGGTAGTTCAAGTTGAGGAGACGCCAGCACAAAAATGTCTTAAGTTGATTGCGGGGTTTTCGAAGTTGATGTCGATGATGTTTGAGGGTGGTGCGGACATGATAGAAGTGGACGACTACATGGACCAAGTGGAAACCCACTTGACTTCTATGGATGTGACGGATGATCATATAAAAATCAACCTAGCCACTTACAAGTTTTCAAAAGATGCTAAGCTATGGTGGAAGTCAGTCACTAATCAGCATAAGGTTGAGGATATAAGTTGGGAGATATTTAAAGAGCTATTTTATGAAAAACATTTTCTGATTACCAAAAGGTGGGAACTAAGGAAGTAGTTTGATGATCTCATTCAAGGTAATATGTCGGTGATGGAGTATGAGAACAAGTTTACCTTTCTTTCTCGCTTTGCTCTAGAGATAATGAGAAATGAAGTTGATAAGACTTAGAAGTTTGTTTTCGGTCTCCATTACCAAATAAGACTATTAATAACGGCCCAGTATTTCAAGGTGTACTCGGAGGCAATGGAAAGGGCATTGATGCTTGAGGTGGAAGCTAAGGACAGAAATGCAGGAAAGGAACAGTTGAAGCAAAAGAGGAATGCAGGACCATCTTCGGAAGAGCAGTCATAGAAGAGGAACAGGGGTGGTCCGTCTCAGTCTCAGGGGCAGCAGTCGGCACGATCTGCTCCTACTACCCCTATACCAGCAGGGTCTGCCAGGAGTGGTGTTATCTATTATCGCTGTAATTAGCCGGGCCACTACAAGACAGAGTGTCCACAGACGTCGGTGCCACTACAAGACAGAGTGTCCATAGATGTCGGTTAATTCTGGGGTTTGCTTTAGTTGTGGCCTACAGGGCTACAGGGATAAAGAATGTCCGAATCGGGGAGCAGGCACCGGTAGTGGCAGAGGGTCACAGCAGAGGCCGTCACAGTCGGCTACAACTCAGTCAGATTTCAGACCACCGCCACCACCACAGCCTGCTATATCTTCTCAGGGTTTACTGCCAGCTAAGAGAGATACTCCTACTATGTCAATGCAGCAATTAGGTTGACAGGTTGGTAGTTCCCAGGCACAGACACCGTAGGGACGTGTCTTTGCACTTGCCCAGCCTGATGCATCTTTTAGACCATCAGTTCTCTAAGGTATCTTTCTAGTGTTTGGTTCTTGGGCTCGTGTTTTGTTTAACTCTTGTGCATTTCATTCTTTCATTTTGTCATCATTTGCACTTGCATCGAGGTTAGAGGTCAGTTTCATTGATCATGTGTTGTGTGTTGATACGCCAGTTGGGATTTCAGTGTCTTTGAGCAGAGTTATGAGGGATTGTTCCATAGTGATAGCTGGACGGAATTTTATGTTTGATCTATTCCTCCTTGAGATGACTGGCTTTGATGTCATTCATGGGATGGATTGGTTAGCTTCATTTCATGCCACAATTGATTGTTTCAGAGGAAGAGTCACAGTTTGCACTCCCGAGGGGGATTGTTTCTTTTACGTGGGAGATCAGAGTGATTCCCATACGCTATCATTGTACAAGATTCATAGACGAGGTCGTGGTAACTACTTCTTGGCTAGTCTTTTAGCCGAAGAAGATGGTGTTGCAGAAGGGGTTTATTCGGCAGTTGTTCGTGATTTTCTGGATGTGTTTCTGGAGGATTTGACAGAGTTGCCTCCACATCAAGAAGTGGAGTTTACTATTGATCTGATGCTCGGTACCGCGCCAATTTCTATGGCACCAGTTAAGTTGGAAGAATTGAAGAGGCAGCTTGATGATTTGAGGATAAAATGTTTCATCCGACCGAGTGTGTCACTGTGGGGCACACCTGTCTTATTTGCTAAGAAGAAAGATGGTTCTCTAAAGTTGTGCATTGATTACTGGAAGTTGAATTATGCCACTATCAAGAGCAAGTATCCTTTGCCAAGGATAGATGATTTGTTTGATCAGTTGAGGGGAGCCAGTTGTTTTTTAAAGATTGACTTGAGGTTAGGCTACTATTAGTTACGGGTTAGGGATGAGGATATCCCAAAGATGGTGTTTCGTACTTGGTATGGATATTATGAGTTCCTTGTTATGCCCTTTGGCTTAACTAATGCGCCAACGACATTCATAGACTTGATGAACCGCATTTTTTACGATTACTTGGACCAGTTTGTGGTAGTTTTCGTGGATGACATTCTTATGTATTCACGGACTCAGGAGGAGCACGAGATCCATTTGAGTATTGTATTGTAGATTTTGCGAGAGCACTATTTGTATGCCAAATATGAAAAGTGTGAGTTTTGGCTACAAGAGGTAAAATTTTTGGGGCATGTTATCTCGGAAGGTAGTGTGTTAGTGGATCTATCGAAGATAAAAGCGGTTTTGAATTGGGAGCAACCCAAGAATGTTTTTGAGATCCAGAGTTTTCTTGGCCTAACATGTTATTATTATAGATTTGTGAAGGATTTTTCCCATTTGGCAGCACCTATGACTCGCTTGACCCGGAAGGTGATCAAGTTTACATGGAATAAAGCCTGTGAGTCATCCTTTCAAGAGTTAAAGACAAGATTGACTACAGCTCCAGTATTGGTGACACCCAAACATGGCTTGGGTTATGTGATCTATTATGAAGCTTCACGTGATGGTTTGGGATATGTGCTGATGCAGGATGGTAAAGTTCTGGCTTATAGGTCTCAACAGTTGAAGACTCATGAGTACATGCAACTACCCTACTCATGATCTGGAATTAGCAGCAGTTGTATTTGCCTTGAAGTGTTGGAGACACTTTTTGTATTGTGAGACATTTTACGTAGGGGTGACAATTTTTACCGCCCCGCTGGTGCTTCGCCCGTCCCGCCCCTTCAATAACGGGTATGAGAACAATTTTTATACCGTTGGGGCGGGTATGGATATATTTTTGTACCCGTCGAGGGTCATGGGGCGGGAACGGGTTCTGATTCATATCCGCCCCGCCCCGCCCCGCCACGCTAAACATATAACTATATATATATATATATTATATAATATTAATAACTTATAATCAATTTATATAATATAACAACTCTACAAGTTACACAACCCTAACTTTTTTGTTTCTCTTTATCAGGTATTCCGTCCTTCTCTCTCTCATGACTTTTTTTGTTTCTTCATACTCTAATATTATTTCGTTGATATCATGTTTGAATAGTATGGTTATGTCTCTATGTTTGTGGTTCTAATATCGTACTTGGTCTTGATTTTTAAGGTTTTTGATTTCTGTAGATCTTTTTGTTTTTTTGATGTAGTCTATGATTTAAGTTATATATATATATATATATATATATATATATATATATTCTTTCAGTGGATATATATATTTATGTTTATTATATATATATTTTATCATACCCACTTGTGCATTGGAGTCTGATAACGTTCCTTTAGAACAGATAGCTTGAGTTCGAGGAAGAACGACGATGAAAGCTTGAACTCCTCAGACTAGACTATTACAAATTTGAATACTAGTTGAGAAGGTAATTTTTTTTCTTTTTTTTCGTCTCTCCTATGCAATAATGTTTCAGCTGCTTTGGATTTTACATTTGTTGATTGATTAATCTATATAAAACTACTTTTTTTTTCGTTTACTTGATAAAGGGTTGTGGGATGACCCACATGGGAATTAAATTTTTTTTTTCATTTTTATATTTTAAAAAACCACGCTTTTTTGTTTTATTCAATTATATTGGCACTTCTCATTCCCCTTTATCATGTTCATTTGTCAGTTTGATTATCCATTGAAAGTGAACCTTTGAATTAATTACTTCTATATTTTTTTTATCTAGCAAGTGGTTGATATAATGTCCCAGCTAACTCAAAATATGGAAAGTGTGCCATCTGCATCAGCTACACAACCTATAAGTTTTGATGCACCAATTGAAATCAATTTTGAATTAGCACCCACTCCAAGTTTAGGGGTCATAGGACTCGCAACATCACATGCGAGGAAGAGAAAATTGACTTCAAAAGTTTGGAAGGATTTTGAAAATGTGATATTGGATGGGCCAAATGGGGGGTCTTTTGCTATTTGTCATCATTGTAAGAAGAAGCTTGTTGCTGAACCTTCATCTGGTACTAGTCATTTAAAACAACATTTAAAGAGGTGTGTGAAGCGAACTAATACTGATAAACGTCAAAAAATGATTGCACGTTCTCCAAATGTTGATGGGTCAATGCAATTTGGCAATTTTACATTTACCCAAGAAGTTTCAAGGAATGAACTTGCTAATGCAATTGTTTTGCATGAGTATCCTCTTAGTATTGTTGAGCATATTGGATTTAGAAGGTTTGTTAGCAGCCTCCAGCCCGGCTTCACAACGATGACTCGGAATACAATCAAGAGTGATATTATGAAGCTTTATTAGTCGGAGAAAGTGAAAGCTTATAGGTTGTTTAACAAACTTGAGAGCCGAGTTGCTATGACGACTAATATGTGGTCTTTTAGACAGAAAAGAGGTTATATGTCAATCACTGCTCACTATGTTGATGAATTTTGGCGCTTGCAAAATATGATTATTGGGTAAGTATTTAATCTTTATTTATTTGTTTTGTTTCAATTACATGATATCTCAAAAGTTGGTTGTCCATCAGTGACTAACTTTTATATTTAATTCATGAATACTTTCAGGTTTGTTTATGTGCCTTCTCCACATACAAGTGAGATTCTCTGTGATGCACTTATGAATTGCTTCTTGGATTGGAACTTGGATAGAAAGATATCTACTATTACGGTAGATAATTGTACAACCAATGATGCATTGATTCAGGGTCTTTCGAACAAGTTGTCTATTCGTAATAAGTCACTTCTCTTGGATGGGAAAATTTTTTATATGTGTTGTGTTGCACATATATTAAACTTGATTGTGAAGGATGGGTTAGATATAATTGGAGGCACAATTGGGAAAATTCGTGATAGTGTTCACTTTTGGACGGCTAGCCAAGCTAGAGAAGAAAAATTTGTGGAGGCAGCCAGTCAATTAAAAAATCCATGCCATAAAAAACTGTCTCTTGATTGCAAAACTAGATGGAATTCTACATATTTGATTCTTGAAACAACTATATGTTATAAGGATGTGTTTCCACGATTGAAACAACGTGAGAGACTTTATACATCTTTGCCATCGGAGGAGGAATGGAGCTTAGCACAAGAAATTTGTCGGAGATTGGAACTATTTTATTCTATTACTGAAATTTTCTTTGGGACTCGATTTGTCACCACAAATTATCTCTTTCCAAAAATTTGTGAGGTAAAATTGGCATTGCGCAGTTGGTGCAATTGTGAGAACGAGGTGGTAAAAAAAATGGCGGCAAGTATGATAGAGAAATTTGATAAGTATTGGAGTGAGTGCCATCTTGTTGTAGGAATAGCAATAGTGTTAGATCCAAGGCATAAAATGACCTTTTTGGAGCATGTTCTTCAGAGGATACACGGGGACGAATCTTTCTCTCAAAAAGATTGTGTACGCCAAGCATGTTATGATTTACTTCAAGAGTATCAACATAGAAGTAAGGAGGGAACTAGTCTAAGTGAAGATCTAAGTGGATTGGCTGCATCTTTAAGCTCTACAAGTAAAGAATGGGATATTTATGCTGAGTATGATATAATTATTAGTGATTTGTCAAGGATTGGGAATGTGAAATCAGAGTTAGACCATTACTTAGATGAACTCGTCTTGCTACGCACCATGGATTTTAACATTTTAAATTGGTGGGTTTCAAATAAGAGTAAGTATCCTACATTACAGCTGATGGCTCTAGACATCTTGGCTATTCCAGTATCAACTGTCGCATCTGAATCAGCATTTAGTATAAGTGGTAGGTTGGTGAGTCCACATCGCAGTCGACTTAGTCCTGGCCTTATAGAGGCTTTGATGTGTTCTCAATCTTGGTTGTGGAATGATCTAGAAGGTAATGAAATTTTAAATATGCTTTTATATTGAATGTCCCATTTAGTTTTTTTCTTTTTCATTTTTTTTTTTTTTTAAATTTTACACTGTTTTGCAGCAAATGCATCGGCGTCAACTCTTTCTGCTGGAATTTCTCGGTTAACAATCTGTGATGAAGAAATAGATTAAAAGGCTTCAAGGTATAGTTTTTTTTTTTTTTTTTTTTTTCCTTCTTCCTCCTTTTTGCAGTTTAGTAATATTAACTATTGTTAAATCAATGTATAGTTTTTTTTGTATAATTAGTCACCATCAATTACTAAAAGAAGATCTGTTTTGATCTCATATGATATTGTTATAGAACATGAGTTATGCAAGTATTAAATTAAAATTTAGTGTGCTAATTAGTACTACTATACTTTGATTTATCTTGTATTATCTAGACTTAGGAGAGTGCAGTGTTATAGTTGATAGTTACAGAAGATATTGAGCATGAAAAAGATGCAGAAATTTGTGTGGAACACCAGACCTTATCAAGTAGTAGTAGACACTAATCTGTCTCTATAGGAGCAGCGGTGAGTCTCTTTCATTGGCTTTCTTTTTCTCTCTCAACATTAGTAGCGGCTTTAATAAAGCATTTTAGTGAAGCTGTTTGTGCATATGTGTTAATTGATGAACAGAGAGGCAAGGGGTCACGAATTGTAACGAACATTTTTATTTTTTATTGAAAAGGTACAACTGGTACAAGCTAGCAATTTAGCACACCGGTGTTGAACATAAGATTGTTGTTTTTCAAGACTGCTTGATGATCATTGGAATTATAGTTTTCATATAAATTTTATTTTCTTCAATTTGTTGATCATTTTTTTATGCATTAAATGATTCATTTGTTCATAATTTTCAGATTTTGATTAATTCATGAACACTGTGGAAGACATGGGAGATTGCAAATGCTAATAGATTATTTAAGGGATTTAAATCAATTTTTGTGTTTTTGTTATCTTTTGTTAATTTCAGACTTCGATTTTGAATAATTTGGGATGTAAACTTGCTTTTGTTTTGGTTATGGTGGAAAGTTGGAGCTTAGAACTTGTTATGATTTGGTTGTATTAAACCCTTATTTTTGTTGATTATGTTCTTTGAATTATGCTACTAGCATGCTATTTATTTATTTTTATTGGGATTCATATATGTTATGCCATTTCCAGGCTTTTTGTATTAAAACATTGTGGTGGCAATTTTTATCGCCCCGCCGAGGCTCCTCCCCGTCCCGCCCCTTCAACAATGGATATGAGAACAATTTGTATATCGTTGGGGTAGGGATGGATATAAAAATTTAACCCGTCGCGGGGCACGGGGCGGGGATGGATTTAGGTAAACCCGCTCCAAACCCGCCCCGTTGCCATTCCTAGTTTTACGGGAGTTTCACACTTCCCGCTTTACAGTTCATCCGGGTGGTACTAAAATGTATCACAATTTGAAACGTCAGTATTGGTGGATTGGAATGAAGAAAGATGTTGCACAGTTTATGACTAGATGCCTTACTTGTCAGTAGGTGAAGGACGAACACTAGAGACTAGCTGGTTTATTGCAACCATTGCCTGTAGCGCAATGGAAATGGGAGCAGATTGTTATGAATTTTGTGATGGGTCTTCCTAGATCACGGAGGGAAAATAAAGCCGTATGGGTCATTATTGATAGATTGACCAAGATGGCTTACTTTTTGCCTATTAAGGCAATAGATAACGCAGAGGCACTTGGTGTTCTTTATGTGAAAGATTGTGAAGTTGCACGGAGTTCCAGTGGCTATTGTTTCCAATAGGGATGTCAAGTTCACTTCGAGGTTCTAGGAAGGGCTTCAGGCAGCGTTTGGTTCATCGTTGCACTTTAGTACGACATTCGATCCATAGACGGACAGCCAGTCGGAGCGTACCATCCAGATTTTAGAGGATATGCTTTGGGCATGTGTACTTGATTTGGGAGGTAGTTGGGAGGATCACCTTCCACTTATTGAGTTTACCTACAATAACAGTTATCAGGAGAGTATTCAGCTGGCTCCATTTGAGGCGTCGTATGATAGACCTTGTAGGTCTCCTATTTATTGGACTGAGGTAAGCGAGACAGACGTCTTAGGATCCGACATTGTACTTGAGACTACTGAGAAGATTAAGTTGATTAGATAGAGGTTGCTCACAGTTCAGAGCCTATAGAAGAGCTATGCGGATAGACGGCGATGACCGTTATCCTTTGAGGTGGGAGACCACGTTTTTCTACGGGTTTCTTCACGAAAGGGGTTATTGAGGTTCGGGAAGAGTGGTAAGTTATCGCCATGATTCATTGGACCTTTTGAGATCTTGGACTGGGTAGTAGAGGTTTCCTACAGACTTGCTTTGCCGCCGCAGATGGATAGAGTCCACAATGTCTTTCATATATCGATGCTATAGAAATATGAGCCTGATCCATCTCACATTTTGAGTTGGGTTGATGTGGACATTGATAAGGATCTTTCCTACGAGGAGGACCAATTCAAATCCTTGACACACAATAGAAGGTGTTGAGGAACAAGACGATACCATTGGTGAAAGTTCTCTGGAGGCATCATGGAGTTAAGGAGGCTACTTGGGAGTTTAAACAGGAGGTTCGCTTCAAGTATACAGAATTGTTTTCTCCTTCACGTATGGCTTGATTTTGGGGACGAAATCTTTTATTTTGGGGTTAATGTAATGTAATGATATATATATATATATGTATTAAATGGAAAAATGTGGGATTTTTTATAAAAAAAAAATGGTGGAACCCACCACTTTATTCATTTGTAGCTAATAGGTATTTTGGCCTCACCTCTCTCTCTCTCGCCGGCAGTTCTCTCTTTCCTCTCTTTATTTTCATTTTCATTCAAAGCTTCAAATCTTGATGAATCTTCAACTAGTGAGAATTTTTGGATGCTGTTTGCGGCAAATCGAAGAGCTCGCAAGATCTTCAAGTGGGTGTAAGCAATTTCAGTTTTGGTGCAACTTAGGATTCCAGAAATTAGGGCACAAAATTGGGGGTTTTATCATCTTGAAGGTAGGGGTGTTTAATCTACAATCTCTTGGTTCTTGGTGAATTATTCTCTCTTAATTTGTAGTATAACATGTTAAATTATGATTAATTCATGCTAAGTTGTCTTGATATTATGTGTATGAGTTATAATTCCTTTTAAGTTTCATGTTTAGTGACATATATGTTGATTGTTGATGAAATATGATATAGACATGCTTAAATGATTATATTTTTAATTTAGATGTGTGATTGTTGAGATTGTGCTAAGTGTAAGCATGTTAGGTTTTGTATAAAATTCCTTATTAAGCATGTAAGTTGTTAAGGTTGAATTGTATAAGTTATGTGATTTTCATGCTTAAATGGTATACATAATTGATTTGTTGAAGGGATATGACAAAGGCATGCTTAAATGATTATGTTCTTAATTTAAATACGTTGTTGTTGAAAATTGTACTAATTGTGAGTATGGAATGTGGTGTGTAAATTTCCTTATTAAACATGCAAGGTTGTTAAAGTAGAATTATATAATTTTATGATACATTTTATGCATAAGCATTGGGAAAGAAATGGGAAGTTGATTTTAAAGGAAATGAAAATGGTTTTGGGGAAAAATTTGTGAAAAGGTTTGTGAAAACCCGGCCACCTCGGAGTTGCTTAGGGACCGCGGCATTAGTGTGGCCTAGAGGGAACTGGGGAGATTTCCCTAGCGTAGTTGAGTTAACGGGTCCCAAATGACACCCTGGAGTTGCCTTGTGGTCAGAGACAGTTAGCCAATCCTTCTCTCGTGCCACCATGGAGTTGCCATATGACGGGTTGCACTAACAATTTAGAAATGATGGCAGAAATGGTTTTTGGAAAATGGGGAGTGACATTTCATGACATTGCATCCCATTACACGTCATGGTTTGTTATTGCTTGGATTATTTGTTGTTGATATTATGGTTATATTATCTTTCCGGAGTTGTATGATCCCATTTTCTTTTGCTCTATTCATTGTTTGGATTCACGGGGTAACAAGAGGTGTGCCTTAGGCACCTCCTACTGAGCTTTTGCTCACCTCTTACTCTTAACATTTTTCAGAACACGGCAAGGAGGTGGTGGATGACAATCTGTAATACCCTAATTTTAAAAGGATAGTGTTGGTAGTTTATTTTATGGTTTTATTGTAATCTGTGCATTTGTATGTGGTTATTTGGTTATTTGCTTATCTGTTTTATTTATTGTTAATTAATTAAATTAATTATGGTATTTGTTTTATTTAATCGAATGATTTAATTGAGTATTTGTTTTAATTTTTCTTTCTTTATTATATACTTATGTGGATTAATGAATTAATTGTTTTAATGGTTTTCGTATTCATTATAATTCTAGGTTTTTATGTTTCACGGTTTAGCCGACTAGGTTTATTTCTTAGTTGAGGTTTCTGTATCGTAATATAGTAGAATTAGGTTTTCCTTAAACTTTTATAAATATAGTTTTAAATGTCAGCTTAGGGTTTAGAAATCGAAAACCCTGTTCATGTATACAGAGAGGGACTTGAGAGAAAACAGAGAGAACTGGTTAGTGCTTCGGCCGTGGATTAAAGGTCGGACCAGGGTGAGATGGAAGGAGTATTGTTCGTGGTTGGAACCAAGGCAACAGAGGAGTCGGGAACAGTAGGAATCACCAGAAATTTTAGGAAGACGACACTAAGGTTTTGAATCGAAACCTCAAAGGCAAGTTCTATTCCTAACTCTCTCCCTTTGATCATGTTCTTTACGTGCCTAAAGCAATTCCAGGAGCAAACAAACGTAAAATTAATCTTTCATGTATGTGAAAATTTATATAAAACAGTATGTGTTTACATGTTCTAGTTTTGCTTGATTTTGCGTTTGTTTGCATAAATACTTGTTTAAATTGATTTAAATGGAGGCATATGAAATTTTATAATCTCTGGAACACACTGGGACATAGAATTAACCAATAGGAACCCTAACAATGGATGAAAGAAGGAACGGAAGTCGCCGGAGGTGAAACGGGTGAAAAAAACAAGCAGAGTTGGTCATTCGGGGCAAAGAAGCGGCTCCACTCAAGGGGGAGGCGGCTCTTCCCCCTTTTTCTTGATTTTTGACGATTTGTTAATTCTGGGTTGGGTTTTTGACATTCTAGAG